TTCGCACAGGACGCGTTCTTGTGTTTGAAAACAGCAGCGAGACGCGCTATGCTTATTTTGACGCGGCGCAACGTGAAGAAAAGTCTTTTAAAAATACATTGCAGGAGAACACATTTTGTGCAAACTGTCCCAAAAAACAGAGAGAACAGCAGTGTTATATAAGATACGCACATATGGTACAGCTGTACAGTTTATATATGTTTATGGGTGTATGAATCGTTGTATAAACATTTGTTTTACCTTACATAAGGTGTGTTGAGTAAAAAAAATTAATAAAATACTTTTTTTATTAAAGTGGTTGTTTTGCGTATGTTGCGTAAAATTATAACGATTATCCTAAATATTTGTATAAGGGGAATATTATCACGTGGGTATTGTATATAGGCCAACAAAGCTAAAATATGTTTTGATAATATATAGTGGAAAAACATTTGAATTACTATATATTACTTCTTGCATTGAATGCTTTGAATGTTTGTGGCAACAATAGATATCTTGGATAACGATTACCATTAGCCATTTTGAGTAAAACATGCAAAAAAAAAAGTTTTTTTAATTGTTTAAGGAGTAAATACATAAAGCTGAAAAAAATGTTTGATGCTGTTTTTTAAAACATTTTTAATTACTATATTTTGCATTGAATTATTTAAATTTTGTGGCAACAATCAATTGCTTGGAAAGATGGTTACTGAACCATTTCAGAAGTAATACAATGTTTTGATACATATATGTGACCCTGGAGCACAAAAGCAGTGTTAAGTCGCTGGGGTATATTTGTAGCAATAGCCAACAATACATTGTACGGGTCAAAATTATACATTTTTCTTTTATGCCAAAAATCATTAGGATATTAAGTAAAGATCATGTTCCATGAAGATATTTTGTAAATTTCCTACCGTAAATATATCAAAACTTCATTTTTAATTAGTAATATGCATGGCTAAGAACTTCATTTGGACAACTTTAAAGATGATTTTCTCAATATTTAGATTTTTTTGCACCCTCAGATTCCAGATTTTCACATTTTCAAATACCTCGGCCAAATATTGTCCTATCCTAACAAACCATACATCAATGGAAAGATTATTTATTCAGCTTTCAGATGATGTATAAACCTCAATGTGCTCCAGGGTCACATATGGAACACATGTTTATACAATCTTTTACATCTTGCATTAAATACCTTGAATATTTGTGGCAACAATAGATTGCTTGGAAAGGTTACCGAGCCATTTCAGAGTAAATAATTTTGTTTTGATAATTATTTATTAAGAGTTATTATTTATTTAAAATACACACACATTTAAAATATATAATTATTATTTTATTATTACTTTTTAATAATTACTATTTATTATTATTATTATAGATAGATAGATAGATAGCACTTCAAATATAAAATATTTTTTAAATGGCGTCAGATAGATGAAAACTAAGCTTTTTTTTAGCATTTTTATAGCGTTTTGCTATAGATACATCTATGATAGGGTTCTTATAATGTTTAAAAGATCAATATTATTTTTTTAATTTACTATATGCAGAACTATCTAACATTAACGATAAACTAAATCCTGTGAAAATCAGCTGCTAAAGACTACTGCATATACAGATATTCATACAGGTAAATAACTAGGTTTGCTCGATCTCAAGTGTTCACTGACCGTTCCAATATGGCGCACGATTTACATATAGCGGCTCATATAGCGGTATCCACTTTAGATCTCTATGCATGCAAGCTTAGACATATTGAACATCTAAACCGTGAGTGTTCTGTCTGCTGGAAAGAGTTTCAATGTTTTGTTGGCCGAACAATCAACATCAAGGTACACATTTTGAATGCACTGTACATCTGTCTTAAAGGATAGACCAGATATTTTACTCTAAATGGGGTTCCCACACCATTTTACTGCTCCTTTTCCATGGCTTTACTTAAACTATTTTATTTAGACCTCACTCACAACAAGCCAAGTTATGTATAACTACAACAAAAAATATTAAACTAAACACAATTCTATAGAAATTTCCAGTCTTTTAACAATTGCCTAAAATTTTCCATGACTATGGGAACCATGTCTAAAAGACAAAACACAACAAGTACACTTTATCCCAGAGTGCTCTGCTTAATGCTTACCTCCAGCGTGTGTTAAATCTTTCAGAGGTTCATCAGAGCTGGCGTGTGGCGATAACGTCCCATCCGCTCTCGCCTCATCCAGCAAATGGTTGACTGTTGTTAAAGGCAGCTCATCCACCGTGTGAAGCAGGTCTGGAGCACTGCGGCTTTCGCTCTCACAGTCGCGCTGACCCACCGGGACCAGAGAATCTCTGGGGTCCATGTTGTTTGTGCACTCGTCAGCATTGCCATGGAATAACAGGCCCCCATCTTCACTTTGACACAAAGACTCAGGCAGATCCTTCAGGGGAAATCCAGAGGACGGACTCATGTAATCAAACCCAGAGATGGAGCATGCTTTCGGCTGATGGCGAATGAAGTTTGAATCTAGTGCAAGACTGGGTTCTTCATCAAACGCAGTTGTAAGGAGTCGTGAACTACACCTTTCTTCCAAAGAACCTGTATCTGAGGTCAGATCGCTATGACAACCTGAATCTCCTTGGCATGCGGCAAAGTTTTCCTCGGATTCACTGAAGGCTTTGTCTTGGCAGTCATTTGCTCTTTTTGCACGGGGACTTTGAATATCGGAATTATGGTTGAAGGTGTTGCATGCACTGAAATGAATAGTTGCATGTTCCTGATTGTTGCATCCATCATTTTGTTGGCTTTTTATCCTCTCAACCACTGAAGACAAAATGCCCTGCTGAGCTACACATCGTTCCTGCTTCTTTCTTTGGGACGAAGACCTTCTAGGCGTCACCTGAGAACAGTTTCCTGAGGCATTAACAGTTGGATTATCATTGGATTCGTCTTGCTGATTGACAGGTTTCACAGTGTGAGCATCCTTCGAAACGTCTCGCTTGTTTGAAGGAATGACTTTGAGAACTAAATGCTTTTTGCCGTCCACCATCTTGAACCCGACCACTTTTGTAGTGCAATCTGGGGGAACAGATATATTGTTCTTCTCCATGAGTCCGCTTAGCTTATCTTTTCCAGTGTGTGGCGCGGTACACCGCTTTGCATTTGCTTGTGACGGATGGGGTGCTGTTGGCGTGTGAGAAACAAACTCTTGCTCGCCTTTGAGAGATGCAGGCCAGTTTTTACCACTACAAACAGTCCTTTCGAGAAACTGCTGCGTTTCCTCCAAGGTCTTCTCTGGATCCAGCAAGACACCGTGGTCGTCCAGTAGACCGGGTGTGGAGAACGGGAGCAATGGGGATGTCCATTGGGGTTCTGGTTTTGGAAGTAAGTACTTGAACTCTCGAGACAGCTTACTGTCTTGCTTAACAGCTGCCCGCTTTCTCCACCAATTTCTTCGGCTCCACCTTTGACGGCACGCAGCAGCCATGTGCTTTAAGAGATCGTTTTTCTGTGCATTGCCATCAGTAATGCAACACGAGTGACACACAAACTGCTTAATCTCCTGGAAGGAGAGTTTGCATTTCAGACAGTAGAATTGTGCGTTTAGAGCATGGTGAGTTTGACAATGTTTGGTCAGTTGGGGAAGAGTTCGCTGGACGTTGTCATCACAAATCTCACAAGCGAACAAACAATCCTCGTGTTGCATTCGGTGCTGCTGAAGAGTAGTGAACACCGGCGAGGAGAAACCACACATGTCGCACGGAAACACCGGTGGGCTTCCTTTCCCTCCGTGGACGATCTTAAAATGCATTGTTAATTCGCCGGGTCTGAAGGAGATGCCGTCGTTGCACGAGGAGCAGGTGAAGGTGTTCACCGCCTGAAGACTTTGAGGTCGCTTCTTGGACTTCCCTTTTACTTTCCATCCATGTGCTGTAACATTCCTCTCCTGTTTCACAGTGTTTCGTTCAGTAGGGAATGAATAGGAGGTCTTCCTGAGACGCAGGCGTTTATGCCAAATGCCCCTCTCTTCATTCCCAACCTGAGCGTCAGGGTTGGCATTGACCCCATTCATATTGGATGTACAGAGCCCTATACAAGACAAGCGAAATTTGAGCTTTTAGATAGATCATGCTCAAAACTCAATAATCCATACAAAAATTGCAACAGTGTCATTATATTAACCAGTGTATTAATAGAATGCATGACCAGTGTCACTAGATTTTCACCAATGTTTCTGGTTGCAATACTGAGCATGAGCTGTAAAAAATAATTTTCTAACTTAGTATTTTTCTCATTTTCCATTATAAATATCTAAACTTTTTTTTATTTATTAAGATGCATTTATCTGAGAAAGGAAACTACTTAAAATAGTATGTTTTCTGAAAAACTGATCAAATTTAAGTGAATTTATGCTAAAAACAAGGAAAAACTATCTTGTTTTTTTCTCAGCCCATTGGCAGAAACATTTTCTTGTTTCAAGCATAAACTCACTTAATTTTGATACATTTTTCAGAAAGCAAGACATCTCAATTCAGTTTGCCTCTTTTTTTTCTTGTTTTAAGCATAAACACTTTATGTTTAAATGTTAATCATTTTTTTAGAATAAAAGACTTGATATTCTTAATGTCATTTTGTCTCTCAAGTAAATGTAACTTGACTTAAGAATATTTATACATTTATACTAAATACAAGACAAAAATACTGAGTAAGTTTATTTTTCTGACCCCATCGACAGATTTTTTTTTAAGCATAAACTCACTTAATTATGATACAATTTTTAGAAAACAAGGCTTTATATCATTATACAAGTCATTTTGCCTCTCAACATGTATCTTGATTTAAGAATATTTAGATATTTATACTGAAAACAAGACAAAAAATATTGAGCAAGAAAATCATTTTTGCAGTGCATACAGTACATATGCATATTCTGCTTTTGTTTATTACATTTTCACTTGTAATTTTGAGTAATTATTGTAATGCATGCTGCGTAAACTATTTAATGGACATTCAATTGAATTATTAACTGTTTATGATCGAAATCTTACCACATATGACAAAGATTTAAAAAAAATCTCACATATACAGTGTGCACATCAAGATTTTTCTTTAAAAAACAGAACTTGGTCTTCTTTGAAATGTCATTTACAACGTTACCTTAGTTAGTTACCCAAAACCAGACTACAACATCTTTATTACAAGTCAATATATTTGAATGAACCTAAACTTAAGTGTGCATTAAATGCTCTGTACTATGGTATTACCATGATTTTTGAACATGGTATCACGATAGTACATTTTCACTTACATTTAATTATTATATGTATGTGTACTCGGTCCTCCTTTGTTATGTTTACTTTTTAATAACTGCTTATGCAACATGTGTGTAACAAATAAATGACTATGAGTACTAGAAACATGCACCATGGTAATACCATGGTATTCTTTGAAATACACTGGAAATTCAGTTGTAATATGATAGTCTTTTAATCCCATGATACACATCAAAGTACTGTGGGATTAACATCACTGTACCATGGTACTGTATTGTTTTGAAAGCATAGTTTCACTACACGAGTATTTAATGGTCTTCCTCTCATCTTTGTCTTAATATACACATGCATACTGATCCATGCATCTCAAAAGACATCAAATGTTAGAAATTATATAATCAGATATACTGTACTAAGCATGCACCGTGAGTTAAATAAAGTACAATCAGTTTGCACCTGTGGTTCAGCTGCCTAATTCCCCCTGTGTCACAATGCAATGAACGTGTTATAAAGTTTTTAAATCGCTTCAGATCAGACTTAATGCAGTGCGATGTAAAATGCAACGCCAATAGCCTGCGATAGAGTTTACTTCAGCAACAATGCAGACTTGCCTATTTAAAGTTGACCAACAAACATGTTTTTCAAGTCGTGCATGCCATTATGCGCGTCCGACACTGCATTTCCACTAATAAAACTTTCACTCTGCTTCAAAGTCAAAGTTTATGCAATGCATATGTGAAAACGCATATAAGTGCATGTAAAAGTGTCGAAGGTGACCAGACTTACAGCGCTTTTCCGCCTCCCGTCCAACCAGAGTCCGTCAACAGCGCGCGGCAGCCATGACAGTTCAATCCGGGGACAAAAGCAGCTCGTGACAAGAATGGATTACCTGCATGCCACATCGTACTAATGTCTAACTCATATTGCATTGTCTAAAATGCATGCATTTTTCCATGCATTAATGCCTAGCTACATGTAGGCTTTCTGTTAATGAAAGAAGCTCATTCATGCCACAGACTTGATGTGTGAAGACAGCATGTGCTTCCTCTTTCAACACATCCTTCAGCACTGTTTATAACGAGCATATAGAGGCACACAGCTCTTACATGTTGAGCAGTTTATTACACACTGCGTCAATGAGAATGTGAGAAAAGAGTAAACACACACACACACACACACACATTCTAACAATATAGAAATTATTTGTTATTTTTACTTTATTTAATCTATTTTTACTTTTTTGTAATTGCTATTAAATTCATGGCCATTTAAGTCAATAATGTCATGCTTTCAAGCTAAAACTGTGATTTCCAAGTCTCAAAAAGACAATTATTATGATCATTAAAATATAAATTATTCATTCAAAAAGTAAGTCATGGAAAAGTCAGGAGAATCCCATTGCTTAGATATCAAGGATGCAACAGTATTGGGTTTAAAAGATGTGTTTTAAGAATCAATAGTTACAAGAATATTTGTCATTTAAATCAGAGGTGCTCAAACTTTTAATACAAAGAACCAAAAAATCAACATTTACTGAGGGCCGTGCATGGGGCAAAAGTAAATGTTGTAAATGTAAAAAATGTTTCAATAATAAAATAAAAAATGCTGAATGTTTAAATCAAATTAACCTGTATTGTTTTTACATTTCAATGCAAAAATATAAGTTAGAAATGAAGCTATGCTTCAATGGCATGTTTTTATGGTATGATGTGCAAAACCAAAGGTCATCACAAGCCAACATTGGTTTAAATCTATTACTCAATAATCATCATCGTCATAAATAAAATAAATAAAAATGTAATTATCAAAAAACTGGACAGGTCTGGGAGCACTTTTCAAGGCATAAGGAAAACACAAATCTAAAAAGGAAAGCACCGTCTGTCTTTGAATACATGCTAATAGATTGAGTTTTTCTGCATTTACACTTCTGCTCAGGGTGCTCACATGCCTTACACACATCTCACTTCTGCAAGACTTTGTTTTCCCTGCAGTAATTTGCTTTTGGGTTTTTCCAATGTTTATGAATAAAAGCATTTGTTCAATTACTAAATGTAAATGTAATGTTTGGAAAATGTGTGGCAAAACATTGTTAGGAATGATATAGCAAAAAAAAAAAAAATCAATTAAAAAAAACAAGCATTTCACACAATTTGCATTCTGTGATCATTATTGAGGAGAGGGTGGCCTCTAGCGGTGAGATCTTGTTATAGCAGGCTCCGACATTTGGGTTGAAAGGTGTTTTACAAACAGCTATTAGTTGAAAATTGTGTTTCTTAGGTGTGCAAGTGCAAGTTGCTGACATCTTGTGATTTCTCGCCACTTTGTCAGTGTAATTCTGTGATTAGTTGCTCTTTGACGTGACGCTGATGAAAGCTTATTTCTGATTGGCCGCGCGCTGTGATTGTAAGGCGGGCTTTGATTGGCTGAGATTGGCAATGCGCTCGCCGTGCCGTGTGTTGTTTCTTTGCTCGTGAACACAGTGTAAACTTTGATTTGAGTTACACTTTGATTATCCGAGTAAGTTTGTTCGGCTGCTAGCTATCATTGTACTGTCTGTATGCAGGCGTCCTTGTGTGCGGTGAGTTCTTCTGGAAAGTTTTCATCGTCTGCTTTTTCCCTTTAAAAGTGAAACATGTTGCGTTATTCTATTATTGACATGACTCTTTGATTTATAGTAGGTTATCGTATGCTAGTAAGTCATTCCGTTATGTTGCCTGTGACATGCATTGGTTTGTTTGACCCAGTAACTATTGTGCACACTGAGGAAGACTCAGGCTTGTTACTCTAAATGATCTTCTCCTCCTGAAGTGTGCTGGACCAGTCAAGACCTTCAGCGGTCTCACCGTCATCTGATCTCTAAACCTCATATATTCCAGGAGCCCAATGGAGCTGGAGGGTCAGTGGTGGAAAGGAGAACTTGCAGAGGACATCTATCAGGCCCTGCGTTACAAAGTTTGTATTCCTGTCATCGTGTTGGTTTTTTGGTGCCGTCGAACATGCATGCACATGAACCTTGCACAAATCTGTTATTACAAAATTGTCATGGTAGTGAAATTGTCTTTTGGATTTTGTAATGTAGTACATGCATGCATATGCAACTTTACTGAATGCATTCATATGCAACGTTTCTGAATTTATGTAAATGCAGCTTGAAAGCATGAATAAAGCAACTTGATTGAATGCATGTATATGCAACTTTAGTGAATTTATGTCAATTGTGTTTACATGCATGCATATGCAACTGTTCTGAATTCATATAAATGCAACTTCAATGTATGAATGCATGCAACTTTATTGAATTCTTGTAAATGCACTTTGTAGTCATGCACATGCAACTTTTAAATGTGTATATAAATGCAAATTTACACTTACATTGTCATTTAGCAGACACTTTTATACAAAGCGACTTACAAATGAATATAAATATAGATTACAAATTCAATGCATGCATATGCAACTTAATTTGGCAATTGCATGCATGTGCAACTTAAACTGATGATTGCACAAATCAATATTATAAAACATATGAATTGCAGTGTGGTTGTCTCGTTGGATGTCTTTCAGGAGCTGCGGTTGCCTGCGTACAAAGGCCAGTCCCCACAGTTGAGCCTTAGACGATATTTTGCAGATCTTATCGCTATAGTCAGCAATCGCTTCAAGCTTTGCCCGGTGGCCAGACACTTGGCTGTTTATCTGCTGGACCTATTCATGGACCGCTATGACATCTCAGTACAGCAGCTTCACATGGTGGCGCTGTCCTGCTTGCTTTTGGCCAGTAAGAGTCATACTCCTGTTATTGTGATTGTGATATTCTGTTATTGTGTGTGATGCACGAAGCACAACACATAGTATTGCGCCATAACCACTCAGCATAACCACTTTTATTATCCAGGTAAGTTTGAGGAGAGAGAAGACTGCGTCCCGAAGCTGGAGACACTGAACAGTCTGGGCTGCATGAGCTCTATGAACCTGGTTCTGACCAAACAGGGTCTCCTGCACATGGAGCTGCTGCTCCTCGAGACGTTTCAGTGGAACCTGTACCTCCCCACCGCTGCTCACTTCATAGAGTACTACCTGCCGGTCGCTGTGAATGAGACGGACCTGCATGACGGCTGGCCGATGGTGTGCATGGAGAAGACCATGCTGTACATGTCCAAATATGCTGACTACTTCCTAGAGGTCTCTTTACAAGGTGCAGAGTTTAATTCAGATGCAGTGCATTATCACCTGTTGAATGTTTGTGGGAGTGTATAAGAACTGCATGATATACAGTATCCGAATGTTTTGTTCTTTTGCATTTCCTTTTTCTGTCAAGACCATGCATTTCTGCGATTCGTTCCATCCCTGGTTGCTGCGGCGTGTGTTGCCTCCTCCAGGGTAATCTTGCGTCTGTCTCTGACCTGGCCTCCGCGCCTGCAGCGTCTGTCAGCGTACACCTGGGAGCAGCTGCTGCCCTGCGTGGAGAGACTTCTAATGTGAGTTTGACCCAGGGTTGTTATCTTTAACAAAAAAACATACAAATGGAATGTATGTAAGTACAGTTTGACTGCATGCATGTACAACTTTAATGCATGTAAATTAAACTTGAATAGATGCATATACAACTTTACTGAATGCATTTACTTGCATTCAATAAAGTTGCATAAGCATTCATTTAATTTGCTATTACATGCATTAAAATTGTATATGCAAGCATTGTTCCATACTTGCATACAGTAAAGATGTAAATGCATGCATTTAAAGGTCCCATGGCATGAAAATTTCACTTTGAGGTTTTTTAACATTAATATGAGTTCCCCTAGCCTGCCTATGGTCCCCCAGTGGCTAGAAATGGCGATAGGTGTAAACCGAGCCCTGGGTATCCTGCTTCGCCTTTGAGAAAATGAAAGCTCAGATGGCCCAATCTGGAATCTTCCCTTTATGTCGTCATACGGGGAAAGGTTACCTCCCCTTTCTCTGCTTTGCCCGCCCAGAGAATTTGGCCCGCCCATGAGAAAATGAGCTACTACCGTGCGAGGCGAGCACAATATTTTTTTTCCTCGAGAGACATCATGGCTTGCGAAGGAGCGAAGCATGGCAGTTGCCCCGCCTCTCTCCTCCTCGTTAGCATTTAAAGCTACAGACACAGAAATGGCACGTCCTAAGGAAAGCTCATTGTGGGACTGGCTCGTAGTGGCTGAAGTTCTGCACCAAGGCTGAATTTCGGAAAAGAGACTTCAGATACAGTACTAGGGACCACTTAGGCCTATATAAAAGCATCTAAAAAGCAGCATGTCATGGGACCTTTAAATTGCATTTACATCTTCACTGAATGCATGTAAATGCAACTTTATTCATGCATATACAAACTATGGAATGCATGTAAATACAACTTGAATTGATGCATATGTAACTACTGAATGCATGTAAATGAAAATTGAGTGCATTCAGTAAAGTTGTAGATACAGTAAAGATGTAAATGCATGCATTTAAGTTGTATTTACATCTTTACTAAATGCATGTAAATGCAATTTCATTGATGCAAATACAAATGTTTGGGATTCATGCAAATGCAACTTGAATTGATGCATATGCAGCTTTACTGAATGCTTGTAAATGCAAGTTGATTGGATGCTAATACAACTTTACAGAATGCATTTCTGCATTTTTTGTTACTTGAAATAAACTCAACGTTAACTAAAAATTATTTTATTTTATTTCAGCTAGTTGCAAAGGCATCATTTCTCATTTTCATTCAGTTTCACTTTAAGTACTAAAATGACTAAAGCTGAAAATAATGTGTTACATAGTTGAATGGTCATTTTGATGCTACAAACATGGAAATCATCATCTTCCCTAATATCCTCTCCCTCTCTCTGTCAGAGCTCATGACAG